CCCCAAAACCCCAAAACCCCAAAACCCCAAAACCCCTTAAGTGGAAATCCTTATTGAATAATTTAATTATCAATTTACACAACATGAAGTCAATAATAAGTGTTGGTCCTCTCCGATACTTTCATAGGAGCTTGAGGACACCTGCCTTGAGTTTGGCCCAATTACTTGCTTATGGATTGGACTAAAGAGTTAAACATTTTAAGATTTTCCTAATTTGTTGCAAAGGCTAGAAATCTTAGCCAAAAATCCCTTTTAGCTAAGCCATGAAAAATCTCCATTTCATAAAATTGTTTATGAAGTTCAGAGTATTAAACCTTTTCACGGGAATATACTAAGAAGATCTTCAAGACTTTGAATTAAGACAATGAAAGAGAATGCTGGGCTGCCAATCATCAGCCCAAGGTCTCAAATTAGAGCAGAAATGAAGGCCAGAGCTTTCTCTCCTTCTCATAGAAACCTACTTGCACAAGAAGATTCATGTTCTCAGACAGAAAGCACACTATGGTTGAGATTATTATCAAAAGAAGACACAAAGTTTCAAAGTTCTTGAAAGAGCCTGCGCCAAAATCAAAGCCCTTGCGATGTCCAAGTTCAAGGAAGCTAAGCAGAGAAGGTTTAGGCCTCCCAAGTTCCCTGACAAATCAAATAAAAGTTTGAATTTAGTCTGAATTCTCCTCCACAACTAAATTTCTGTCCTATTATCAAGCCAAAAACTTTTGAAAGATCAGGAGAAGAACCTCGTAAAGCTGCTGAGTTAAAATTTTGAAGTCCAGATTTCCTAAATCTGCTCCAAACAATAGTCAGAGAGCAATGAGAAATGAAGGTACATCCAATTCTGCTGAAGCTAGTGCTAGGATCAATAAACTCTTTAAAATAGGATTGAGCAATCACAGAAATTGTACAATAATAATTTAACTTATTAGTAACAATAAGATTCATTCCAAGAAAATGTTCAGAAATCTTAATTTATCTCTAAATTGTTCTATAAATATGACAAAATGAGGCTTAGAAGCACGAGATTTCCCTCTAAGCCATGGCTTAATGATAGCCTCCGAGGAGTTAATCTACCATAATGAATACTTCTCTCTTCAGTGTCGCATAGATTCCAGTTGAGAAGTTATCTCCAGTTGGTACTAATTAGCATATAAGAAAAGACTGAAATGTCCAAATCAGATATGTATTTGGCTATTTAATTCGATTTGGTAAAGAAGTAAGCCCTCTGGAGCTTCAAGTCTAAATCTACACTCTTTATTTAACATAAATACATCGAAGTGTCCAAAATTGTTCATTTGTTTGTAACGATTGCTAAACTCTAGTTCTTACTAGCCACAAAAGGCTCAGGTACAAAATTATAGAAAAGGATTGAGATTACAAGAGCAAATAGTCCAATCTGTTTTTGAAAAGTTGCCACCCTTCAAAACAAAAGAATGATTTGGAATTCAAAGTAAACGAATAGGTTTGTTGCTTGAATTATTTTATTATTAAAAACTCAGAACTACTTAATAGCAACAATACGATCTTCAACTATATTTGAAATTGATAAGCAGGCTTTAGAAGGCTTGTGTTCACAAAAAATGAAAATTTGATTAGAAAAGCCTTCATTCATATCGCAAAAAACCTAAATTTTTACTTTTACCCTATTTTTCCAAGAAATCAGAGTTTTCAAACTAAAACTCTCTAAAAGTCAATAGCATTGAGATTATTAACTCTTTAATAATAGGCTAACTCTATCATAACTAAATTGTATTTTTAGTGATGAAATAATAAACTGCATTTAGAATGAGCTGTTAAGTTTTCATAGAATAGACTTAAAAGCACTTGAATAAGCCAATATCAATTGAGTTTTCAAAGTAATCTTATCCTTGGCTCTAGGAATGAATTTTGCTGCTATATCTACAATTATCTCAGAAGCCCTTCTTACATGTCACCTATATTCATTCTCAGAAATTTAATAAATTAACCAGCCTGGACTTTTAATGATTTATGTTATTAAAAGCCATCGGTTCTAATTCCTTGATGAATCTGAGTTAACTGTATTCTATTTTCAAAGTCTCTTAGCTACTGCACAATCATCTTCATGATAATTCTCCGAACTTTAAAAAGACATTAGATATCATAGAGATCTTGGGGTTGATTTCTGAAGACAAAACTTTAATCTTTAATAGTAGCTAACAAAGAGATTCTTTTGAGGCTTGTTGACTTTCTGAAATTTGGAGAATTATCATCAATATGATTTTGCATAAGCCAAAAGCTTTGAAAATAGAACCCAGTTTACTAATATTCCAACAATTCGAACTGCTCATCTAAAATATATAAATGATTTACAGCTAGAGGTTCTTAAACAATCTGTTCTCCCCTGTAAGAGTCTTATCTCTATTGACCCAACCTCACGGAAGCATTCTCCCTTACCTCTATTCTGCTTTCTCCCTCGCCCACCTTCATCGGGATCAACCTTCCCAACCTCAAAGTTGTTTGATAAATTCCATAATTTTGCCATTTTTAGCTGATGAAATGTTTTAACTTACGAATATATCCTTTGCTTTCTGGACAAAGGGCTGCAAAAAGTCAGCCATGGATGATAGGGGTGAAGGTCAGCGAGAGCTTAGTATCCCTAGGTTTTTGTGAGGCATAGGGGTTATAGCGAAGTGATCTTGTTAACTTGTCATTTTTATGGTGTTTTATATGTATCTTATCTAAATACCCTCCATTTCTTAAATCTACCATCCTAAAACTTATAACATGTCTCTACTTCCTAAGACTACTTCCTCTATAACCCTACATTGCGATATTACATGTCTCACTTAAGCCTCTACCTCTGCTCCTACCCACTCAGGCCCGCTGGATGCACTCTAATTCCCATTCTCCTGCTCCGAACCCAAATTTCTCCTAAAATGTTTCCACTGAAAGAGCTTCTCGCCTATATGACCGCCTAGGATTACTCTAAAGCGCCTGGGAGGGCTAACCAAGCCAATTCAGTAGAAAAGACCCCGAGAAGGCTGCTAATGGAGGAATAAACGGTTTATAAGAACTTTAGGAGTAATTGGGGCTCAGATGGGTGGAGGGACATTGAGAGCGGTTTGATGAGGTTAAAAAGATGAGGGGTTTGTAGATTAATAAATTTGGCTTAAAGTCCTTTTTAGGTGAAAAAAGTAGGTTTTAGAGGGTGAATGGAAAGTGTCTTTGATGGATCGAGGAGAATTAGTTGACAAATTTTTGATAAATTAAAGATATTATAAAATAACATGATGTTTTATTTAAGAAAGATATCTACGATAATTTGGATATTTAATACCGCTAATCCTCATCCTTCCAAACTCCATCTCTCTTCTATCGTTTCGCCCACCTTCTCTCTAACCCAGACACCTCTGATTCTAACATATTTCAAAGTAAACATTCCCCAAAATCCCTTAAAATCCTAAATTCTTAATTTTCCTTTCAAAATTTTCCTTTCAAAATTTCCCTTATCTTAAAACAGCCTCTATAAATTACAATCATACTAAACTTTAGACTATACCAACACTAAACACCCCTATTAAACTCACCCCATTTTTTACCACCACCAACAATTAAAATTTAGACCAGCCTCTAATCAAAGACCCCCAAAACTTTTCCCCAAAATCTCTTTTACCCAATCTCCTAAACCATCCCAATGAACCTCTCTATGCCCCTAACCCCCCACTCTTGTTCCCAACTGGCCTACAACGCCTTAATCCACCTTCTGTGCTGGAAGGCTCCCAAGGGAAATTAGGACTTGTACTTGAAAGGAAGGGAATTTTGGATTTTTTGGGTGAAAAGGGGTAGAAGATGTTAGAGAAGGTTTAGGGCCGTTTTTAGGGGGTTTTGGGGGTTGGGGAGGGCTGAGTGGAGAGAATGGGACTGAGGGAGGGTTATGGCTTGGTTAGGGGTTAGGGGGTGAGAAGAAATGGGGTTAGAGTTGAATTGGTATAGAATGAGGTTTTAGGTTAAAAGAGTCTAAAATTAGTAAAGATTTGGTAAGGATATTTTTAGTTTCAAAGGATATAATTTTTGGAGGACTACAGTTAGACTATTCAGAAGATATTAATATGTCAGTTTTTCAAATCTGAGTCCAGACTCAATGATATTATTGGCCTTTCTTAAATCATATAGCTCTATATTGCCTCTTTTTTCTTTCTCAGCCTATCCAAGCTTTTTGATAATGACTTGAAAGGTTGGAGCATACTCATCTTTGGCATTATTAACGATTTTGGATTTATTCAAAGCTACTAAATGGTCAATGAGTAAGACATAATTAAAGGCATAAACCATCATTTCTTTCCTCTTTCTATAAATATGAACCTGGTTCATGCTTTTAATTTTGTTGAGTTCATCTCATTTTTGTATAGATATTCACAACCTTAAATGTTGGTAGTCATTGTATGTAACTCCAGAGATAACTTCATTAATTTTACATGCTTCTTTTTCTCTCTTAAACAACATCAAAGGATCCTTATCTTAGAGCTAAGTTCCTTCTAATACTTTATCTGACGGTTCTTTTTATTAATAAATCTGCAATAATTAGATTACTGTCAAAGGCTTCTCCATGTATTCATTAGTGAGAAAGACTATCTCAAATCCAACTGTTTGAAGCATATTAGGGTTAAAATCTGTAACTGCTGTTTGTCTCTCTTCTCCTCTTCTGACAGGAATGGAAGGACTAGGTCGAAACTGCCAATTCAGACAACTTCACTCCTATATTTCATGCTTTCTAGTATACCATAAACACTCTCCCACTTCTACGAATTAAAACCTTAATTCCTTATCCAGCTAAATTAATTATTTCAATTTTTGAGATAAAATTCGGGGTTTTGGGGTTTTGGGGTTTTGGGGTTTTGGGG